CAGCAAAGGAATGGCTCAGGTCTCCATCAAAATACCAGCGAACTGCTACACACTTAGATATGTGGAGTCAAGAGAAAGCATTTGGAGAAAGAATACCTCTTTCATGTTTCCCTGATTTAACCGACTCTTTTTTTTTTTTTAAATATATTTTATTGATTTTTTACAGAGAGGAAGGGAGAGAGATAGATAGTCAGAAACATCGATGAGAGAGAAACATCGATCAGCTGCCTCCTGCACATCTCCCACTGGGGATATGCCTGCAACCAAGGTACATGCCCTTGACCGGAATCGAACCTGGACCCTTCAGTCCACAGGCCGACGCTCCATCCACTGAGCCAAACCGGTTTCGGCTTAACCGACTCTTTCAGTGAACTGACCGATTAATTACCAATTCCAATCACTTTGGCGAAAAACGCACCTACTTGGTAAAATAAAAGGCGGGATCAGTCCCTCCGGATCTAAAACATTGTGGATTACGTGAAATCGACTTAGTCCAGCAGCCTGGCCCTCCCAAGGCTAAGCGGCTGCTGTTTTTAAGGTCAATCCAACACTTGTCTTCATCATGCATTTAGAAGGTTACCAGTCCAGTGTGCCTGTCTCTGTCAACTGCTCAGAAAGGCTCCGTCTTCTGAAAGCACAGCATTCTCCAAAGAAGACTGCCCAAACCCTACAACTTCTATAAAGTAGAATCTTTAAATATTAATAATTCAACAGCCAGAGGAGGGAGGTCCGAGTAGCATTAGACAGGCTGTGACTCATGAGGTACTCCGCCAGAGCTGAGTGGTTAGATACCTTGGCGTTTGCCTTCGCAGAAGTGCGCTTGCCTGGAAACGGTTCCACAAAATGGCCAATGCCACCGTCACTCAGACCAGAAGAACCGTGTCTGGGCTTTCTCTCTCTTGCAGTAAAGGTGCTAGACCAACACCCAGAATCTGCCTTAAAGTATTCGTGGAGCCACAGGATATGGCCGAGACAACACTGAGATGCCAATCTATAAACATTGCGAAACAACTTCCTTTCGTACCTCTTGCATATGTTTGCTTCCCTTCCCCCAGGGCCCTGACCACTTCAAGACCACGGTCTAAGCTCCAGTTCTGGCTTGAACAAATTGGACTGGCTTCGAGGTAGATTCCTGTAGTCAGGCCCACTGAAAGGACCAGGATGCTTCCCGGGAGGACCACAGCCAGCAGTCTGTTCCGTGCCGCTGCAGAATGGATGGGGCAGCTTTCCCAAGTGCCATGGGCTAGTCAACCCCATCTCTGAGGACATGAAAAGGTCCCTTTAAAGACAGCCACCAATCCAGCAGTATATCTGGTGGACACCTTTATAAAAGCTTGAATAAAACAATTGAAAGTGATCAGACTGGATGTCTTTCTGTTTAAGAAAAATATATTTTATTGACTTCAGAGAGGAAGGGACAGGGAGAGAAAGACAGAAGCATCAATGGTGAGAGAGAACCATTGATCGGATGCCTCCTGCACGCCCCATACCGGGGATCAGGGAATCGAACCCTGACCTCCTGGCTCATAGGTCGATGCTCAACAATGAGCTATCCCAGCCGGGCATGGCTGTCTTTCTAAGCTGGTTTCTTTTTCCTCAGCTCAGCCAGGCTGCCAGAAACTTCCATTTCCAGCCCATATCCACGGTCCAGAAAAGGGCAGAAGCAACCAGAGTCCTCCAGCCAAACTAAACTGAGCTACATTCTAGTCTCCCCGGTGTTTCTCGATTTATGTCAGGGGATTCGTGGCAGGAATCTCCACTAGTTACTAGAAAAGATGTAACTAGTCCGACAAACCCAGGTGCTTATGGATTCTGCTTGGCGCTGGCTGCTTAAAAACTCAGCGGTAAAACCCCGTTATTCACAGAAGTTAAAATGGCACAGCGGTGCCCTGGCCCAGGGCTTTCTATTTTGACTTTTATTTTTCTATTTTGACTCACTCTGAATTTGCTCAACGTTGACCTTTTCCATTTAAAGATCTCTCTGTCGACACTTCCTGTTCGGTGTAAATCCTAAAACGGCCAGGGTCACACGGTCTCTCTCTGACCCCAGCAGCACAAATGACCAGCCCAAGAATATGTAAGCTTGTCAGGGCTCTGCAAATTCCCCACGATCGGATCGTAAAGCTGTGGCCATGCTAGGGAATTCCCCCGGGAGGGAGAGCAGAATCATGCTGGCATGGCCACCATCATCCCCAGGCCCCTTGGGTGTCCACAGCTGTGAGAAGTGAGGCCAGCCCCAGGACCCGCTGATAATGGCCCCTAAACACTTCCAGGCCCCCGACCCTGAGGCCACCAATTGATGTGTTTCTCCCACATCATGTTTTCTCTCTATCTCTGTCTCTCTATCTCCCCCTCTCCCTTCCACTCTCTCTAAGAAAATCAACGGAAAAAATATACATCCTCAGGGGAGGGTTAACAAGCCTTATTAAGTTCCAAGGACAGCAGGAAGGCCCCTGGGGGTGAAGGACAGCGAGGGGCAGGAAGGCTGGCAGAGACAGGGTCATAGGCGCAGGCAGGGACCATGGGGTCCCGGTGGCCCCATAGGCTGCGGAAGAAGCCGCCCGAGGGTGACAAGCAGGGAGTGAGCAGGTCTAGCTGCTGGAAGAATGGACACAGATGGAAAGAGGGACTCCAGCCAGGGGACTGGATGGCAGCTTGGACGAGGCTGGTCCCCAGGGCCACTGTGGCTCGTGAGCCGCAGTTTGCCGACCACTGCTCTGGAGAGAGGGCTACGGGGACTCTAGAAGAAGCATGGTGAGTCCGGAGTTTGTAAATATTCACTAACTATTGCTGTGTGGATGCAGGTGCCTGCACACACACACACACACACACACACACACACACACACACACTATCCTCCCTAGACCCACAGTGCAGGGTAGTGGCCCAGACTCTCTCTGGACCTCGACTCTTCACCTGTAAAATGGGGCAGTAATGGAGGCGCCCTGTTGTGAGGATTGAATGAGTTTCTATAGGTAGACCATTTTAGAAAGAGCGCCTGCCACAATAGGGTATCTGTTCCCAACGTGGCTTAACCAATTACCTCCAATTTAGTGGCTCAATGAAAACAATGTTCATTGATGCTCCTACAGTTCTGGAGGCCAAAAGTTCCATATCCCTTTCCCTGGGTTCATGTGAGAGTCTCCGCGAGGCTGGTTCCTTCTGACGCATCCAGTCCTTGACTTTTCCAGCTTCTAGAGGCTACAGCTTTCCTTGGCTCCTGGCCGCGTCATTCCAGCCTCTGCTTCCGTCGTCACAGCCCCTTCTCTTGTGACCTTCTTGCCTCCCTCTTATAAGGACCCTTGTGGTTCTATTTAGGGCCTGCCGGGATAATGCAGAACAATCTCCGCATCTCCAAACCCTTCATTGAATTACATCTGCCCAGCCCCTATGGCCATAGAAGCTAATGCTCACGGGTTCTGGAGATTAGCACATACATAGCATTGGGAGCTGTTATTCAACCCATCACACATGGCAGCAATAAATAGAGGTTTGTTGCTATTATTGTCATGATCATCATCATTCTTCCCTCAGCTGCCCCAAACCATAGCCCCAGCCTCTGGGAGAGGAAGGAAAATGGGGAGACCCCTTTCTATCTCTCAGAATCCCCCTGAGACCAGGCTTGGAGCCCAGTTCTGGGCTGGGAGTGGTGAGAGGACTGGGAGCAGAAAGCAGACGAGGCAGGAATGTGCTGACAGGCCTCATGTGGGGTTGGGCAGGGGGTCCTTGCACAGCTAAGGCTTCCTGATGGCGCTGTATTGGATGAGCTCCTCCTGGCTCCTGCTGGGAGGGGGAGTGATGAGGTCCTGTGTGTTGATGTAGATTGAGTCCTGATCTGAGGTGTCCAGAGACAGAGCTGCATAGCAAATGTCCGTGTCCAGAAAGGGGGCCTGTAACAAAGGCGCATGCAGGTCAGGGAGGCTGGTGGGGGGAGGGGTGGGGTGCTGTGCTCATGGATGAGGCGCCTCCCTGAGGCTGGGGGACACGCCCCTCAGGAACTCTGAAGGCCACTCCCATGCAGGGCACCCTGAGCTCCAGCCACAGCAGGTGACTCTCCCTCAACTCCGTGCCAGGGCAGCACGTTCTGCGTGTGCTCCCAGGTCACTGGGCCTGGCTGGGTCTCCACTGACTGGCTCCCAGTCCCCCATGTGGAGACCTGATATGGACACACTTCCGAAGGCCAAGCGCCTGGGGAGCTCAGCAGGCAAGTCTTTCAATGGCTGCGATTGTGCCCGGCACCCACCCTCCTCTGTGCCCACAGGGGCGGGAGAAAGTCCATCCTCAAAGCAGGGACGATGAATCCAAGGCCCACAGCAGCCCCAACAAGTACCCACCATGGTGATGTACTCCACTTCCCCCTGGTCGTTCTGGGCAGAGGAGGAGGGCTGCGTGGGGGCCCTCTTCCTGGGGGAGCTGGGCGAGGCTTCTGTCTGCTTCAGGTTCACAGGTTGGCAGCAGACATTGTCCTCCGGGGGCTGGAGCACCTGGGAGAGGAAGCCCAGGTTCCTCTTCCGCAGAAGGACGCCAGCCCCTCTGCTGCCCTGCCCCCTCCCCCCAGCTTCCTATGCAGGCCCCACGTCTCTGTCTCCTTCACCTTTCCCCTTCCAGCCCTCCCCTCAACTGGCTGTTTCCAGCACCCCCTCCATCCACCCTGGCCTTGCAGACCCCTTCAGACACTTGGGCACATGGTCTGCCTGATACCTTTGGACCTCGGGGCCCCTGGGAGACGGAAAATGAGGGAAAGTGCTGGTCTGACCTCAGGGACTCTCTTACCTGCTCTGGGGATATCCCAGCAGCTAAAAGACAAAAACAGTCAGATTTTTAGTTTCAAAATCTAGATACTGAGGAGCACAGAAAGTACTTATAACATTGGCCACGGACAATGCACTTGGGAGAAAATGTGATGAACAGAGCCAGGCTCCCTCCTCCCAGACTACAAGATCCCCCAGGCTCGGGGGGAAGGAGGGGCCGGAGAGGACCCATGAGAGAGCGCAGGTCCCAGTGGGCTCTGAGAATGGGCGGTGCCATTATGTGAGGATGTGGAAGTGGAGCCAGACAGGAGGAGGGTTTGTTCGGGGCCAAATCCCCTGTTAGATGAGGCTGGCTTATGAGTGAATGGCTGGGGCGGAAGAGGAGCCAGAGTAGGAATCTCAACCAACCTTTATAATAAAACCCAGAGGATTCTATGTGTGACGCATATGCAAGCGCATGTGTGTGTGTGTGCATATGTATAATCTCTATGTGCACATGTGTTAACTGTGTGTTCATGTGTGCGCATGCACTGTGTTATATGTGTTCGTGCATGTGTGTACACATTCTTGCGTGTGTGTGTTTCTCCCTACCTCTGTGTCAGCTCAGTACCTCCTTGGCAACCATATGAATTTCACTGAAGTGTCTGGGTTCCCAAAATGGGCCTACGGTCATGGCCGCTTCTGCCACCAAGAGTCAAGCCGGGAAACAGAGAAGGAAGTGGTGGGTCAGAGAGACAAGAAGGGCAAAGAGGGGTGTGCAAAGCAGACAGCTAATGTCAGCACCACCTGGGCTCAGCTACCAGCGGCCTTTGGGAAAACACCCCTTCCAAACCCCATGGGCAATCCCTTGGACCGATGGCTCCTGGGTGACCATACTAGCCATTGCCCACACACTCCCCAGCCCAGCCCAGCCCAGCCCAGCCCAGCCAGGTCCTCTCACCTTTCCTCTGTCGCTTCACCATTCTCCACACCAACAGTGAGGCTGCCACCAGGAGAAGCAGCAACAGAGTAAAGAGGAGGGGCAGGAGGATGAAGAGCTTCGGGGAGTCGCCACTGGAACCACAGAAGACACCCGTGAGCCCTGGCTCACCTCCTGCCTCTGGGCCTTATCCCATCCACCCGGTAGCAGACAGTCACACACCTTTTGGCTTGCAGTTTCCAGCCTGGGAACCCCACTCCTGGGTGCCCTCAAAAATGGCTGTTGTTTTTAAAGGAGAGGAGGGCTCCACAAGGGAGTTTCAATGGGTCTAGAAGCCTAAGAGAAGTTGTATGACAACAGGCACCAGCAAGGTCTCCCTGCGTCCTCACTGGTCCTCTGACGTGGCTGCATAGTGTCCCCCAGCCCACAATTCATGTCACTCAGAACCTGGGAAGATGACCTATTTGGAAATAGGATCTTTGCAGATGTGATCAAGATGATGTCGTACTGCATTAGGGTGGGCCTAACCCAATGACTAGTATCCTTATAAAAGGAAAATTGGGGCAACAGGGACACGGTCACGGAGACCATGTGACAACAGGGGCAGAGACTGGAGAGATTCAGCCACAGGCCAAGGAACGCCAAGGATTGCCGGCCAAGAGAGAGGCATGGGACAGGTTCTACCTTTGAGCCCCAAGGAGCCAGCCCTGTCGACACCTTGATTTCAGATCATGGACCTCCTGGGCTGTGGGAGAATAAACTTGTCTTGTGTTAAGCCACCAGTTTGTGCTGTTTCATTATGGCAGGCACAGGAAACTCATGCATCTTCCTGTTGTTCATCATCAACACAGCACAGCTTTTAACCAGAGTCCCAGCGCCTCCCTCCTGTGCTCAAAATCCCAGAACAGCCCCATTTCATTCCAAGAAAATGGCCAAGCTCTTTCCTCATTTCTTACTCTTCTCACCCTTGCTTCCTCTTCTGGGAGGAAATGCCTGGGGTTCTTATAATAAGAAGAAGAGACTGGGACACAGACACACACAAAGGGGAAACCATGGGAAGACACAGGGAGAAGATGGCTGTCTACAAGCCAAGGACCGAGGCCTTGGGAGGAACCAACCCTACCGACACCCTGACTGAGACTTCTGGCCTCCAGAACTTGAGGCCTCAATGGCTCATGATAGGATGTCAGGCGCCCGGAATGCAACTGTTTGTTTAAGCTGACGCTGCTTTGTGATGGCAGTCTGAGCTGATGACTATAAGGATTATCTCTTACTCGTCACTACTTACAGAAACTTATAAAATAATTTCATCAATTAACTTAATTAACTCTATTTGGTACGTTAATTATCTCTTGATTGTAAGTGCTTGGAGGGCAGACAGACAGCTTGATTGTTCTGTTCACCTCCCATCCCCTGTGTTCCCTAAATTGGTGCTGGATATGAGGGGGGCTCAATAGCTACTTGTTGAATCAATGAGTGAGTTATCCATAATGTGAGCAAACGCCCTAACTGGTACGTACATCTGGCTTTGACTCATAAAATGAGAAACTCCTTGCTGTTACTTGTTAAAAGCAGTCCGGTAGAAAGAAACTCCCCAAAGAGAGGTCTAATGGGTGAGGGGACTAAGGAGTCCCTGGTGTGGAAAGAAGGAGGATGGGAATGTGCGTGGTCGTCGGCAGGGTCAACGTACAAACAGAATAACACACAGGAAAGTCCTCTGTGAGCTGCCAGGGGCTCTAGAGACACGAGGGCCTATCAGGATCACTGCTGTTGCCTTAATGTAACTGGGGAAAGAGGGCTTCCCCAAGCCCTTCCTGTTCTCCCAGAATTTGGACCAGGGGGCACTGTGGCCCCATGACCCCGTGACCACACACCCTGGCCATGCCTTCTGCCATGACTGCCGGCTCCTCCATCTCCCGCACTCTGAGCTCCGCATGGGACGCTCTATATCTGTGTGACCTCAGCTCAACACAGTGCCGGCCAAGCAGATTGTAACTCAGTGGAAGGGCCCCTGGCATCCTGGCTGGGACGTGGGACTACAAAGGGTCCCCGCACTGGAGAAGTTTGGGACCAGTGGGCCACAGGGAACAGCAGCATCCAAGCTGACCTACCTGCCATCGGAGTGGTGGTTGGTCACATTCAGGAAGCCTGTGGTGTCTTCTGGGGTGTCTGGTACTGTGAACGCGTTGGCAGTGGAGGTGATGGCAGAGGTGGGGGTCAACACTGTAGTTGGTGCTTGTCATACAGAACAGATTACATTCCACTCTCCTGCTCACATTCCTCCCCCATCTTACTTATCCAGCAAGGACCAGAGCAGAATGGGGACGTGCCAGGTAACTAACACACCCAAGAGCTATGACTTCTAAGGTCAGGGCCAGCCCTGAGCAAAATCATGATGTTCAGGAAGAGCCTTTCCTTTGGACAAGTTTTTAAGTTTCTGTGATGGGGCAGTTCCTGCTCAGGGTCATTCTCGAGGTCCCATGAGACAAGGAACGTGCTGCACTTGGCAGCTACCTCAGGCCTCCCAGGTCCCGGTGTGGTGGGGACGCTATGAGTGTGTCCCCTCCCGGCCATCCGTGCCCTGTGAGCTGGTGCTGGCTGTCCAAGGGTCGGCAAAGCAGGGCCCAACAGACACACCTGTTCACACCCAGATGCTCCCAGGAGTGTCTATTCCAGAAGGTCTTAGGAAGAGAACGTCTCTAAGCCCAGATGCACCCATGGCTCATGGTGGGATGTCAGGCGCCCAGAATGCAACTGTTTGGCTGTGGAAGCCTTTCCAGACCTCGGGGGTGACCCACAGCCCCAACTGTGCTGGGCTCCTTCCCCCTGAGACCAGATATGGAACAAGGGGTGGGAACAGCAGCTATGAGCCCCGGCCCCAACCTTCAGGAAGAGCAGGGACACCAGGGCACCAGAGGTGCCAGGGAAGCCTTGGTAGGAATGGAATCTCTGGGATTCACGGTAGAAGGTTCCTTCAGCCCATGAGTTAAAACTGGGGCCATCACCGTGGTCTCTATGGGCAATAGACTCGGACGATGAGCTGTGCAGAGAAAAAATGTGCCCAGAAAGGCTTTATCCCATCTTGAGCCCCTAGAGCATCTAAGAAGCCCTGCACCTCCCAACCTAAGTGAGCAGCCAGGGTTTCATGAAATCTCAGACCAACCCCCTCTGAGGCAGTTCATCTGAGTGAGTTCAGTCACTGGACAGGGACCTCAAGGACCAGGGCAGAGCAGGCCCTGAAAGGACACAGCCACACATGCACGTCCTCTTACCTGGGTCAATGGTCACTTTAACAGGGACCCCATGGTCAGATCCAGTTCTCTCAATCCCACACCAGTAAGTGTCTGTGTCTTCTCGCCTGAGCTCCTTCATGGTCACAGTGAACGTGTGGTTTGTCTGATAGTCCCGGATGGACACACGCTCCTTCACCCCAAACGCTGATCCATTGGTTTGAACAAGGATCTCGCAGCTTCCTAAAACAGGCCCTCGACACCACCACTTCAGGTAGGCCTCCCATCGTGGGCCATAGCGACACTGCACGGTCAAGACTCCCCGCTCCAGACCTCTCACTGCTTCTGGACCCGTGATGGGAACTGATGAGCCTGGAAAATACAAATCCATGTACCTGTCACCTTACTCCCACGTCCCCACCCCAAGACCAGGGCCACCGCCGCCTGCACTGTGAGCAGCTCCAACAGTCCAAGGCCTGAGGAGTGGGACAGAGTCAAGGAAGGAATTCACCTTCCACAGCACAGACCTTTGTCCTTCCAAGTTCCACTGGCTCAGAGCCACCTCCAAAACCACCTAACGGCACCACTGCAGAGCTCAAGGAAACAAAAGCACTGACTCTGAGCAATAATTATCTCCTATAATTCGCTCCCTCCCGCTCCCTGTGGCCCATAAATCTTTGTCCTTTTGCAGCATCTCAGTGTTAAACTGGTCTCAGGGGGAGGAAGTACCAGCGGACCCATGGCCACAGGAGTGAGTGCTCCTGACCTGTGCTGATGGCCTCAGGAGGTCCAGCTGCTGCACCAGGTACATGCCCTTAACCGGAATCGAACCCGGGACCTTTCAGTCCGCAGGCCGATGCTCTATCCACTGAGCCAAACCGGTTTCAGCAAATCTTTGTCCTTTTGCAGCATCTCTGTGTTGAACTGGTCTCAGGGGGAGGAAGTACCAGCGGACCCACTGCCACAGGAGTGATTGCTCCTGACCTGTGCTGCTGGCCTCAGGAGGTCCAGATGCTATGAACGTTCATATACTCTTTTTTGCTTGGATATGTGTTTTCTTTTTTTTTTTTCTTTTTGGTTTGCCTAAGGCAGTCATAGTTTATTATTGTCCCAAACAATAAATTTTCATAGAACCCCACTTCATTCTCAGAAGTGTTCCAGAGAGGATAATACATTGTATGCCCCTTTTCCGCCAACATGAATGGAATCAGGGAGGAGCCTTCCCATAGACAGGCCTACTTCCCTTTTCATATGGTTGCTTTGCTCAGAAAAATTTCCAATGCTTCTGTCTGTAAGACTCTTGGCCTGGGGTCATGAACTGACTTCATTTCTCCAGCAATATTTCTCCCAGACTCTTAGCATATTATTTTTCAAACTTTTAT